TATACGAAATTCCTAGAGCAGGGAAAACTCATCTCTCGTGGCAAAAAGATTAGTGGCTGCTCATGTGGAAAGAATTAAATAGAGGCACGAAACAAATTTATTGGGGTGATGGAAATGTTTCATATCTTCATTAGGGTGGGAGTTGCCTGGGGGAATAAATTCATCAAAACACTGGGGGAAAAAAAAACTGAAGGAGAAACAGACTTTCCCAGATAAACCAAAGCTGAGGGACTTCATCACCACTAGGTGTACCCTAAAATGTTAAAGGGAAAGGTGAAACAAAAGGACACTAGACAGCAACAATAAGGTATACAAAAATTAAAAAGTCACAGGTAGGTTGACCACGGTGGCTCACGCCTATAATCCTAACACTCTGGGAGGCCGAGGCGGGCGGATTGTTTGAGCTCAGGAGTTCGAGATCAGCCTGAGCAAGAGCGAGACCCCGTCTCTCTCTAAAAATAGAAAGAAATTATCTGGACAACTAGAAATATATATGTAGAAAAAATTAGCCGGGAATGGTGGCGCATGCCTGTAGCCCCAGCTAAACTTGGGAGGCTGGGGTAGGAAGATCGCTTGAGCCCAGGAGTTTGAGGTTGCTGTGAGCTAGGCTGACACCATGGCACTCTAGCCAGGGCAACAGAGCCAGACTTTGTCTCAAAAAAAAAAAAAAAAAAAAAAGGTCAAGGTAAATATATATACAAATACAGAATACTGTAATGATGCTGCATAAAGCATTATTAATACTGAATTAAATGTAAAATACAAAAGCACAAAAAATTACAAAACTATATTAATGGATACACAATATAATGATATAATTTGTGAAATCAATAACAAAGTGGGTCTGAGGAGATGTAAAAGAGAACTGTTGTATACAACTGAAGTTACCTTGTTAACAGCTTAAACTGCTATAAGATGTTTTATATAAACCCACAGAGAATGCCTATAGAAAGACACATAAAAGTATAATGAGAAAGGAAACAAAGTATGTCAATACAAAAAAATCAACAAACTACAAAGAAAGGCAGCAAGATAGAATAAGAGGGACAAAATAGCTACAAGTCACGGAAAAAACAATTAACAAATGGCAATAATAATTCCCTCCCTATGATTAATTACTCTAACTGAAGATGGATTAAACTCAATCAAAAGACAGAGCGGCTGAATGGACAAAAAACATGATGCAATTGTGAGCTATCTACAAAAGGCTTGCCTTAGATTTAAGGAGACACAGAGGCTGAAAGTGAAAGGATGGAAAAAAGATATTCTATGCAAATGGTAAACAAAAGAGAGCAGAGGTAGTCATACTTATTATCAGACAATTTTCACTTTTAAGTCAAAAACTGTCATAAGAGACAAAGCAGCACATGATATAATGATAGTACAGTCAGTTCACTAGGAAGATATAAAAATTATAAATATGTAATTTGCCTAACAGCAGAGCACCCAAATATATGAAGCAAGCACTGACAGAATTGAAGGGATAAATAGCAACACAAAAAGATTTTTAATAGCCCACTTTACAATAATGGAGGGAAACACAGAAGAACAATAAAGGAACAGAGGATTTGAACAACACTAAAGACTAACTGGACCCAACAGACGTATACAAAACACCCCATCGAACAGCAGGAGGATACACATTCTTTTCAAAAGCACACAGAACATTCTCCAGGACAAATCACACGTCAGGACACAAAACAAGTCTTAATAAACTCAGGAAGTCTGAAATCATACTAAGTATCTTTTCTGATCAGAATGGAATCAATAAGCAATACAAAAACTGGAAAATCCACAAATTAAACAATATACCACTGAACAACAATTGGATGAAAGAAGATATCACAAGGAAAATTAGAAAATATCTTGAGACAAATGAAAACAGAACATACATACCAAAACTCATGGGATGCAGCAAAAGCAGTACTGAGAGATACTTTTACATTGGTAAATGCCTATGTTAAAAGAGAAGAGAGATCTCAAATCACCAACCTAACTTTACATCTCAAGGAACTAGAAAAGTAAGAACTAAACTCAAAGTTAGCAGAGGGAAAGAAACAATGAAGACTAAAGCATATATAAATGAAATAAAGCAAAGAAAATTAGGCGAGAAAAAAAAATCAGTAAAACCAAGTTGGTTTATTTTAAAGAACAACAACAATGACAAGCCCTTAGCTACTTTAACTAGGAAAAAAAGAGAGAAGACTGAAATAACTAAAATTAGCAATAAAAGAGACTTTAAAAGTAATGTCATAGAAATAAATCACATAATAGATTACAATTAACTATTATATGCCAACAAGTAGAATAACCTAGAAGAAATGGATAAATTCCCAGAAAGACACAACCTACTAATACTGAATGATGAGGAAATAGAAAATCTGAAAAGTGCTTTAAATATTAAGCAGACTGAACAAGTAATCAAAAATCTTCCAACAAAGAAAAGCCCAGAACTACATGGGCTTCACTGCAGAATGCTACCAAGCATTTCATCCTTCTCAAACTCTTTCAAAAACTGAAGACTTTTTTTCTTCCACAAACTTCCTTTCTCATTTTATTTTGTGTATCTTATATACGCATTCTCCATAGTTCCAAAATCATTCTATGAAGCCAGTATTACTCTGATAATGAAACCAAAGATACTACAAGAAAAGAAAGCTAAAGACCAATATCCCTTATGAATAGTGATGCAAAACACCTCAACAAAATACTAGCAAATCAAACTCAACAGTATATTAAAAGGAATATACATAATGACCAAGTAGAATTTAATCTTGGGACACAAGGATGCTTCAAAAATAGGAAAATCAATCAATAGAATAGACCACATTAAAAGAATAAAAGACAAATAATCACATGATCACCTCACTTGATGCAGAAAACGCATCCTGACAAAATTAAACCACCTTTTGTAATAAAAACAAAAAACACTCAACAAACTAGGAATAAAAAGAAAGTACATAAATATAAAAAAAGGGGTAAGGTCAGGTGCGGTGGCTCACGCCTGTCATCCTAGCACTCTGGGAGGCAGAGGCAGGAGGATTGCTTAAGGCCAGGAGTTCGAGGCCAGCCTGAGCAAGAGCAAGAACCTGCCTCTACAAAAACCAGAAAAATTAGTCCAGTGTGACGGTGCACACCTGTACTCCCAGCTACTGGGGAGGTAAAAGAAATGTACACTGAAAATGATAAAACACTGCTGAATGAAATTAGAGAAGACAAATAAGCCAGGCTTAGTGGCTCACACAGATGGCCAAAGCACCTTAAATGATGTTTAATATATCACTAATCATCAGGATAACATAAATCAAAACCACAAGAGAAATCACCACACACCCATTAGTATGGTCACTATCAAATAAACAGAAAATAACAAGTGCTAGCAAGGATGTGGAAAAATCGAAACCCTTGTCCCCTGTGATGTGATTGTTAAGTAGTGCAGTGACTATGGAAAACAGTATAGAGGTTTCTCAAAAAATTAAAAGTAGAATTCCTATGATCCAGCAATCTCATTTCTGGGTATATATCCAAAAGAATTGAAAACCAGACCTCAAAGAGATATTTACATACCCATGTTGAATATAGCATTGCAACAGCCAAATTGTGGAAACAAGTTAAATGTCCACCAGCTGATGAATGGATAAAGCAAAGGTGGTATATATACACTGGAATACATTATTCAGCCTTTAAAAAGAAGGTAATCCTGTCATATGCTACAATAGGAACAAACCTTGAGGATATTACACTAAGTGAAATAAGCCACTCACAAAAAGACAAATACTGCAGGGTTCCACTCATAGGAGGTATCTAAAGTAATTAAACTCCTAGAAACAGAAAGTAGAATGGTAGTTGCCAGGCACTGTGCAGAGGGAAAAATAATGAGTTACTGTTCAACAGGTATGCAGTTTCAGTCATGAAAGATGAAAAAGTTCTAGATATTTGTTTTTTAACAATGTGTGTATAGTTCATAATGTACATTTAAAAACTATTAAGAGGGTAAATTTATGTTATGTACTTTTTATCCGTAATTTTTAAAAAAGACATGAAGCACTGATAACATGATACAACACAGATGAACCTTGAAAACATTATGCTAAGTGATAAAGCCATATTTTATGATTCCATTTCTATGAAATGTACACAGATAAATCTACAGATTGGGGGAAATTGAAGGAAGACTGATAAAGAGTTCAGAGTTTCTTTGGGGGATGATGCAAATGTTTGTACAACTCTGAATATACTAAAACTACCAAATCATAAATTTTAAAAAGACGAATTTTATGGTATGTAAATTATATTTCAATAAAGCTGTTAGGAAAGAAATCTATTATGGTAAACAACTTTGTGAAATCTTATGTTTAAGGATACTGTTTTATCTTCAATAACTATACTGTATAATATTCATGTCTTGAAAGATTTGTTTTCTTCTTCTTCTACTAAAATAGGATACTCTGCTACTTACTGTATTTTTATTTATTCATGATCCTCATTCTAGAAGGGATTTAAGACATTCAAGACCTTCAAATAAGTATTATAGAACGCCATCATTTTTTGTCAAAACAACATGTCCCTATTGTCCACATAACAGGTGGACCTACCTTATGTTTAGTCAAAAGAAGCCTAACATCCAACAAAGTCTACTTGCTTGCTGTAAACTAACAACTGGATTTAAACCTTAGGACTAGAGCCCCTCAATTACCTGTAATAACAGACTGAATCCCAAAAAGTTTGGAGTTTTTTTTTTAAAGATAGGAAATGGGGAGCAGGAGCAAAAATGTCATTGAGACTTACTAAAAGGGGGAGGGGGACAGAGCTTCACGTAAAACTTTATTTCTGAAAATAAACAGAAATCTGGTTTTCAAAACTCAGATCCTTCTACATAATTCTACATCATTCAAGTGATAATCCTTCCCAATTTACACTTCACCGTTCCAGTAAAATACCAATTTCAAAATGATCAGCACTTTCTCAAATCCCTTTCTATCATAGTCAGAAGTCCTTACCTGGTTCGGGAAGCTCAGCCTGTGGTGTTAAACTGGGAATTCCTGGCTCCTTTTCCATGTCCCCAAGGCTGGTACTGGATTTATCACAAATACTCAACTGTGACCCAACTGAATCTAAGTGGCCAGCATGATTCAGATCTGTTTGTGCATCCTCTGGTACATTTGTTGAAGGAGGAGTTCTATGCTCTAGAAATTCATCCCGCCTCTCCTGTACAGGGTCACTAGGAAGCAAGACCCCAAAGGCACTCTTAGAGTTTTCTTTCTCCCTAAATCTGTTAGTGCGCTTACGAGGTTTAGCACGCCTTTGGTTTAAACGCTGCCACCGCTTTTTAGGCACCGCTTGATTTACACCATTGTGTTCATCATTTTCACTGTTCATTTCAGAGTCCAGCTCTTGGCCTTTTCTGTTTTCAAAACCAGGGCCTTTCTTGGGAATTGTGTCAGGGTCAGGCTGTTTAACCTTGTTATGGAAATGAACGTCAGAAAGATCAGCAGCACCTTCACTTGTTAAATGGCCCATTAACTGAAGGGGCTCCTCTTTACCAGGGTCTTCTGTACCTCCTCTCAATGAACCTCCACTTTCTCTGTCTCCCTGCAGTGCAGGCTCCAGAGGCACAGCTGAAAGCTGGTTCAGTTTTCTTTTGCGCTCTGTCTTTAAGGCTTTTCGGTTCACTGTATTCTTTCCGATTTGAGCTGAAAAAGCATCTCGCAATTTGGATGATGGCTTTGATCGTCCACAGTTGCGCCTAGTAACACAGTTTGAACGACTTTTCCCAGAAGCGGGAAGATCTCTTCTGTCAGACACGAAGCCAGGTAGGGATGCAGACAAGTCCCCAGACAGTGCACAGTCACCCCTACTAGGGCTAGGATTGGCTGAGTCCTGAGTGCCATCTCCATTTTTTTCTGAATTGTGGGTGGAGCCTCCTGAAACCAAAACTTTAGAAACCCCTGCAGGACTACTGGTAGAACAGTCCCCACGACTAGGACTCCGATAAGAGACCAAGTTGGGAGCCGTCATCAACCGTTGTTCCTTGGTCTTACTATCATGCATATCTTTCAACATCATTAGCAAGGTACTGAATTTGTAGTCTGGTTCTATAGGTAAATGGTTCTGACTAGAAGCAGAAGAGAAAAGTAATGGTTTTGGTGGCTTTGATGTTCCAGAGTCACTGACATCTTCACCTAAGGATCTGTAAGAGAGTTCCTTTAACTCTGACAAAACATGTTTCACCACCGCTGTTTCTATGTCACTTGAATCCCTGGTTTTCTCGTGCATGTTGTTCAGTAGTTTTAACCCATCTACTTTTCCACTTTTAGAAATGCTGGCCAAAGGAGAGCCTTTCGTATCAGAAGAGCAGCATTTCAAACTGCAGGCCTCATTTGTAACCGGGGGTTCTACTATAACTGGGTTTTCTTTATGTTTGTACTTCATACTTCGAAACTTGGGCTGTTTGCTTTTCAAATGTAATAGAGCTTGATTTGTTGTTCCACCTTTTATTAGTGAGTTCTCACTGGAAATGCTTGATGACATATTGAATTTTGGAGAGAGACCATCATTTCTGAAATCCGACTGGGGTTTATGGACAAGAGTAGACACTGTAAGCTCAGAGAGATTAAGCGGAGATGTCTCAGTTCTGGGTTGTGCTGTCTTAGCACAATCCACTAAGTGGTCTGCATGTGAATTAGCAATGAGAGACTTTTGTTTTGTTTTTACCCTAGAGTTTGTGGCAGGATACCTAGAATACTTTATCTTTTCATTTTTCTGCATAGATGACATGTTTTCTTTTCTATCAAAGCCATCTCTAATTTTAAGGACACCGTTACCAGACTCTGAGCTGTGTTCTATGGGATCCAAATCACTGCTTCCATCATCAGAACTGGTACAGATACTAATGGAATCACTTCGCTTTTCCTCATCACCTGCTCCAATATAGCAGAGCTGCACTTTGGAACTACACACCAGGCCTTGTTGGGGTTTCTTCTTCTCCCCAGAATGTTTCGAGATCAAGGCACCCTCAGGCAAGCCCAGTAAAGAGTCACAATTTGAAGTCTCAAATTCTTTCTTTGCAGTGTTTTTTCCACAAGAAGAAAACAGAAAACCTCCTGGGGCAGTGCTGGACCCTGTGAGGCTGTTCGCTATCCTGGAAAGTTCATTAGAGGCCTGCTTATCAGATACATCCCCAGAGATAAAGTTTAAGCCAAGGTTCTCTGAAATCTTTCCCCCCCGTTCTTCCTTATGTGCTTCAAATTGCATGAGGCCCTTTTTCACACTAGTCCTTTTTGGATTATCAGAGCTCTTTCTGGCTCGAGACTTAGCACAAGGTTTTTCCTTCTCATCTGCAGAATGTTCAGAATCAAAAGCCAGAGATTTCAAGCAGCCATTAAGCAATATGTCATGTTCTGATTCAGGATCATTTGTACAGTCCTCAAATGGCATATCTTCCTCACTGTCCAACTTGATTGAACTGGTAACACATTTTCGATTTTTTGACCCTTTGGGAACATCATATTGTTCAGCAAGACCAACACTGGCTTCCCATTTACTCAAAATTTTCTGAGGAACCTTAAATTTAAAGGAGAAAAAGAATATCATTTATCAGAGAAAATGGGAAGGAGAATAGGGAAATGATCAATAAACACTTCTCAAATTAGAAGCTTTTCCATACCTGTTGGACTTCTTCACATTATGAATGTATTTAATACCATGTTAACTGTACACTTAAAAATGGTTAAGGCCCTTTTATGGGACTGGCCAGGTAGGCAGCACCTGAACTCACCTACAGCTTAACCTAATAGAAATTCCCCAACACTACTGCCTCCAATAAGATCTATCATTAGAGGAAGAATTGATCTCAGAAACACTCCATTCCTCCTACATTCATAACACAAAGGAGTGAACCATAACTTTGACTAAAACTGATAACATTACATTTCTAAAACAAGGAAGACCCAGACCCTCCCTACTTACTTCACTATACCTTAGAACAAGGATTTATTTTCTTTTATATATATATATATATATGTATTTTTTTTTTATCGTCCAGCTAATTTCTTTCTATTTTTAGTAGAGACAGGGTCTCGCTCTTGCTCAGGCTGGTTTCAAACTCCCGACCTCGAGCGATCCTCCCGCCTCGGCCTCCCAGAGTGCTAGGATTACAGGCGTGAGACACCACACCCTGCCAGGATTTATTTTCTTCCTGACTTATGAAGGGCAAGCATATGTTCACTTGCCTAAAAAAGAAAGCAAAAGGTTAAAGACGATGAATATGGAAAAAATAGGTCAAGAAGAACAAGCAGGTCAGATCTACCCCTAGGGGCGCTGAAATTTGAAATTCTAGTTTTCACTAGCTACCTGGCTAAGCAAGACTCTCCTATACATGTTATATACAAACTGGATTATAACTAAGCTGTCTCCTGGCTTAATCATGTAGTCCAGGGATACAAAGACACCCTGGGAATAACGACATACATCTTTTCTTGATTGCTCACAGCATGAGAATATTGAGGCTCTATGAAAAACATCTAACCTTTCCAGACTCTCATTTCTTTCCTTGCCTGCATATGATAGATATTAGTCAAGGTTCTACCTACCAGTTAGTGTTCACAAACACTTTTATACTTGTGAAGGGGATGTTCTGCAAAGTATGCAAAAATTAAGGTCACTAAATAGATAACCTCCTCTTACAAGGGAATAAACTGATCATCTTTTACATACAAACACACACCCACAAATTCTCTTAACTGCAAACAGAGTAAAACAATTTTCCAGAACCTGAAAGCATTAGTGAACTCCTCTGAAAAGAGGGCTGATAAATCTATATAGCTAAAAGGCTTAACAAAAACTTATACCTCCCCACTCCCAATCATCTAAAATATTAGAAAGCATGAAGTTAACCCCTTCATCCTGAAAGCAAAACATAGTATTTTTAAAGCATCAACCTCATAACATATTAAGTATTTTATACTTACTTCTAATCCTCACAACAGTTCTACAAGGTAAATGTTATTACACTAGTTTCAGAGATAAAGACACCAAGTCACAGAGGCATCAAGTTATAAGTGGCAGACCCTGCATACTAACTAAATTATTCTTTTTTTTTTTTTTGAAACAGACTCTCACTCTATTGCTCCAGCTAGAGTGTCGTGGCGTCAGCCTAGCTGACAGCAACCTCAAACTCCTGGGCTCAAGCAATTCTCCTGCCTCAGCCTCCCGAGTAGTTGGGACTACAGGCATG